ATCAGCATTGGTATCGATTGCTGCCTCCGATATTCATGCATCATGGACTTCCCCATTTATCCCTCAACTGAAATCTGATAATTCCCCCATAGGCGTTAAATTAACTACCGTAAGTGAAAAAATGCAATACCAGCAATGCCCATTTATACCAAAAAAGAAAATTAAACGAATACCTTCTAATATTTTAGATGGAAGTTTCTCTAGTTGTGAGTCTTTTTATATTTGGTTACTTTCTGGGCAGCGCTCTTACAATACATGCACCTGATATTTTTGGTAGGAAAATATTATTTATTATTGGAGCGGTGTTAAATTTAATCTCCTGGATTTTTATATTCTTTGCTTCTGGTCCGATTACTTTATATTTTGGAAGGACTGTTGCTGGAATGGGAGCAGTCATTTGTAGGCATGTAAGTTACTGTAATATCTTGTATAGATAAATTGCTAATTTAAATTAGTTTTCATATTTCCTTTTACCATAATAGTTATTACTGTAGCATAGTATCCGAAATTCGTAAAGAATATGATTTTTACATTCATGCTCATTTCATTATAAAGCTTAATTAATTACTTACAGTACATGTGTGTGTGTGGGTTTGTGTGTGGAGTGTGTGTCCTAGCTTCATATTTATTCTTTCTTCTTCCATTAAACTCCATATTTTCTTTCTGTTTATCCTGTCAAAGGCTCCCTTCATATCGGCAAAGAATTGGAAGAGTTCTCCTTTTTCGTTCTTTATTTCTTCCTCATTGCCTATCATTACTATGTATATTGCATCCAGTGTCCCTATCCCTTTTCTGTAGCCTATTTGTGTATCATCCATGAGATTCTGCTCTTCCATTTCTGTCTCGAGCCAATTTTTTAGTATCTCCGCATATATTTTATATCAATTGTCCATAAGTGTAACTCCTGTATATTTTTTTGCCTCGTCTATATGTCTTTCTTGTATATTGGTGCCACAATGCCCGTCCTCCATTCTTCTGGTAATTTTGCGTTCCCTTTCCATATGTCATTTATTATCACATGTAGATTCTCAAGTTTCCGTTGTATTAGGCCTCAGTTCAAATTTTCTATTGAATGAGATGATTTTCTTTTCTACTTAGAAAATACACCCGGTCTTGCAGGTTTTCCTCGACAGCCAAAAGAACCCATTTTCCTTTGATACTAGTTATATTAACTTGTTGAATTTTCAGATTTCGTCAATGTATATTGGAGAAATTTCGGACAACGACAACAGAGGTACAATGGGCTATTTGAATGTCCTTTTAGGTGCTTGTGGATCGGTTGTGGGACTAGTAATAGGTCCATACGTGTCGTACAAGACTTTTGCGATTATAGCAATGTGTATCGTTATATTTGCAATTGTGTGTCTTCTATTGATTCCTGAAACGCCCTATTTTCTCATTAAAAAACACAATTATGAACACGCCGAAAAAGTAATATGGAAACTGGCGAGCAGTTCTTCTGATAAAGAGTTTGTGAAAAAGAAACTGGAGGAAATCACTGAATCTGTACAGAAAGATATGCTAAATAAATCATCAATTAATGAACTTCTTTGCAGTGGAAAATATGTAAAATGTTTGCTGCTCCATGTTGGTAAGTGGAGATTATATTCTCTTTATCCGCCTTTTTAACGGTGCCCAGTCGTGATTACCAGTACCCTGTGTAATATTTGTTTTGTGTTTTTTTTTGTTGATTAGATTAAGTGTGATTGAGGGTGTTTATATTAACGGTTAACCTCTAATACAGTAGGTCAGTATGTCACTGTAGAACATATAATAATATGATCCTTAATTTAAAAAAAAAATAACCCCCAAAATGGTACTCCCAAAATAGCAAGGAATATTGGCTTCTCTCATGTGACAGTATGACAAATTTTAATGCAACAGGTGCTGCATCCTTATCATTTGCAGCGGGCGCAAGTATTACCTGAAAGTGAATTTCAGCCGCGTGTGAATGTGTAGCGATGATTTCCAAATAAAGATAGAATAGATGCCTTTACGTAACTTACATAATTTTTTTTTGTATTCGCACATTTACATAGTACTGCTTTAACGTACTTATTTAATCTAAATATTATGTATAAGTAGTACTGTCATAGACCTATTCAATAATCGGCAATGTTTACATTTTCCGTCGATGTAGCTGCAGACTATTCATTGCAGTACACCATTCGGAGACGAAATGTCATCCAGGGCTGGCTTCAGATTGTAAATTATTGTAATTGTCTGCTGCTAGACTAACCATGCAATTGTCTATTGCAACTAGTTCACACCCTCCAAAACTCCGCACTTATTTCTATTAGAATCTGTGTATTGCTGCTAATATTAACTTATCCATTTTAGGTTTAGCTTTTGTGTATTACATGTCGGGTAGCACGATCATAAAATCCTATTTGCAGACAATACTCAACGCAAGTGAAAGCACAATTTCATCCAATCTTTCAAGTTTGATTTTCGGAATAGCGAACGTTGTTGCTGGTAAGTGATTATAGTATGCTAATTAACCGAATAAAATAGAAACATTAAGTATTTACTTAAATTTTAGTATTTTTTTCTGGTTATGTTGTGGATCGACTGGGAAGGAAACCTCTTTTACTTACTTCCTGTATCGTCTGTGCGGCTTGTATGTTTATTCTCGGTGTGTACTTTTACATTAACGAAACCAAATCTTTTGATATGAAAGTTGTAACGTGGTTACCATTGACCAGTCTAGTCGTCTATGAGATTTTCATAGCCGTTGGTATTAATCCTATACCGCAAGTCGTTGTTTCCGAACTTTATCCGATGAATGTCAAAGGCATAGCGATAGGGACGGTTGGAGCTCTACTGACTCCTATCGCTTTACTTATTCAAATGGCATACGAACCTTTAAACAATTATTGGGGATTGTACAGTACTTTTTGGATGTTCTGCTCATGCTGCGTTTTTGGTATTTTCATTACCATATTCTTCCTACCCGAAACAAAAGGAAAATCTTTTCAACAAATACAAATGGAAATCAATAAGAAGAAAGTGAAGATGGCTGAAACGACAATTAATCATATTTAATAACATTAATTTCGCAAATTTTAACATCGTCACTATATTTTTGTATATCAATAGTGTTATTATTGTGTATCCAATACAATTCTAATAAGAACAAAATCGAGTATTATTTAGCATTAAATGAAAATCGGCAAAGTTGAAGTGACCATTTAGAAATATTAATAAATAAGGATTGAACACGCTTTTAAATGATTCAAAACAACCCCTTTCAATTTCAAAATTATAAGTAGCGTCAGTATTAAACAAAAAGAAAGATCTTACCCCAACTAACCAAAACTGTTGTGGTTAGTTCGGGTCAGACCTTTCTTTCTGTTTATCAATACGCCAGTCTCGTTTTTATTTATCATCGTCAGTATTATTAAAGATATATTAAGCGATATAAATTAACATAAACTGTCAGGGTATGACGCATACACCGGTCATAATCGATATGGCGGCGAGGATGATTTTTGTAGCGATGCCATAAACCGCAAAGCACTAATCGATATAGCCAGTTTTATAGGCGAAACAGTCAGGGTCATAAAGCATACTGAGCGACACATACATGACCGCGTAACAAAAGGATTTCGATAGCGAGATATATTATATTTTTATAGGGTTAAATTATATGCATTAGTGAATCAAGTTTTTGAATTAACTACAAATAACATCAAATTAATTAGGAACAATTGTTGCTGCTCATTCTCGCGGGAATCGAACCCGAGCCCCTGGTTTTTACGCAACAGTCCTGAGAGTATGGGTCGCAAAACCGTCGAACCAATGTATAATCATTATTAGTAATGAGACATTTGCCCTCATTAATTTGAGGTTGTTTGTAGTGGGTAAATTTAATTCAAAAAATTAATTCGCGAAGGCATTGATTTCGATAGCATTTCGGAAAACTGAAGAACTATTGAGAAAGTCTGATGACAATGTAAGTATCTACCATCATTACGCATAGCAGCCAACGGGTTCCCCTCGAGAATTAATGCAGGAGAGATGCTGCGTAATCAGTTAGTTTCGGACATCAAAACAACTCTAAACCCACATAGATACTACCTTATGCTTTATTGAAGTACATATAATAAACTTGAACTCTTAATAAACATGAGTATAATAAAAGAAGAATTTTTCAAATCAACATCCCAACACTGTGGGAGAGATGTCCACACGCAGAAAGGAGAGACGCCGCGGTCCTCCTCTTTCTGCAAAAAGAGACGCCGCACCTCCCTATCAAGGTCACCCACCACGAACGTAAGACAACTAGTTGAGAAATATCTAGACAATAACCTCAAAATATTGCTAAAACATTAAGATATTTATAAAATCCACGGGGCTTTGCACAATCGCTTTTGATAGAATATATCGTAAAAGTTTTATCACAAAAATGCTATCTTACTTAATATACCGAATTAGTCTTTTGATTTTTTGATAATTTGTAATCAAATCGGATGCTCACACTGGTCGACATCCATTCTTTGTGCCATTCTTTGTTATTGTAAATAATTATTATAAAATTGTGCTTNACCTAAGTGATCTAAAGAAACCACAGAAAAACTTGGATCATGGCAACCGGATTCGGAATCGAACCACCGTCCTCCCGAATGCTGAGCAATGGTCTAAACCTCTAGGCCATGCCGCTCGATAGCGGAAGGCCCTCTTCAGCCTCCTATTAGGGATCGTGAGAATGGGTGGGTGGTGGTTCGGGTGAGAAAGTTGAGACGGACGAAATGTAGACAGAAGAGAATGAAAGATTATCTGTGGAATATTACTGCCCCAGCATTTGCCTAAGTGATCTACGGAAACCACAGAAGAACTTGGATCAAGGCCACCAGACCCGGAATCGAACCGCCGTCCTCCTGAATGCTAAGCAACGGTCTAAACCTGTAGGACATGTCGCTCGGTCTTGCCAATAGAGTATCCACTGCCCTTATTAAAGCACTTGACTGTTCCTTACCCAAAAACCAATACGGCACTACAGCACTTGTTCTAGAAAGCTCTCTTTCAGCAGGTCTCTTTGGTGCTTGGTTTCGTTATGTGTATATTAGTAGTCTTACCTTTGGTAAAGCCAAATAATAATTAACTTACGTCGAGCAAATAGCATTCCTATTAATGGTCACCTATTGCTGCAGATTGCGTCGTCACTAGTCAACTTACAATCAGTAATATTTTTTAATCATCAATAAAATTTAGTGTCTGTAACGGTTAGTATTCCATACGAAATCATTCGCTAGACTAAAAGTACTGTCACAGTGACCAAAGCTAGGAACGCGGGACGAAACTGGACGATTAATCACTATCGACATACATATATGTACCTTGGTGTGAGCATGATCCATATCAATTGACCCATACACTTAGGATGTACCTGAGCACGTGGCGGGCAGCGCGTGTAAAAAATAAAAAATTAAGGATAAGTAGATCTTAAGGCACAAATTAGAAGACTTTCATTGTCATTTATTATCTGTCACTCATTGGTTCAATTATTGTACCACTTGTTCGGTTAATTAGCAAATCTTTTTACCGTAGTTGATTATTTCTATAAACAAAAACTTCAAACAATCTCCTTTATTATTAAGTAATTGAAACTGCTTATCGTTCTTCCAAACATTTTTTTTCAATAATTCGGTTTTGTAAAAGGCAGACGGGGAGATATAAGTATCAATTATTATTATCAGTACAGTTTGTTGGCATATGAATTTATAATACGCAAGTAACCACTTAATTCAATCACTTTTGAAGTTACCCGTAAAGCAGATGGAACATTTTCCTTGACCGGCAGATAAGATGTTGCAAAAGAAGTTATTAAATTTGCGGTATAGGCAGTATTTGTACTGCGTTTGTGGTATGTATCAAAAAAAAAGGAAAATAATGCTTAATATTTATGTCTTTGTCTAATAAGGAATTTCGACTATGGCCGTCGCATCCATACATATGTCTTGGTCGTCGACATTTCTACCTCAACTACGTTCTGATCATTCGCCAATAGGTGTTAAATTGGATACAGTTAAGTAAAACAGTTTTCAAATATTAATGTGAAAATTCGTTTTCAATTTTTTCACCCACTATAAACTACCTCAGGTTAATCAAGAAAATTTGTTGCTGTTGTCACTCCCTCGTCGGGATTCGAACCCTGGACCTTTCGCTTTGCGCGCCAACGCTCTGACGACTAAGCTACAAAAGGTGACAACAGCAACAACGACAAACTGTACTTATTAGGACACACATCTGTCAAACTAATGTAATTATATTAATACTATATACTATATGAAACGGTATGTTATTTCTGGTAGTTTAGTGGAGAGCAGTGGTGGGTAAAGTCATGGGCCCGGGTTCGAATCCCGGCAAGTGGTGGGTAAAAAATTGAAAATGAATTTTCACATTAATGTTTCATATTAACCACTATTAAATCTAAAAGAGTTTCATATATATAGTATTAAAACAGTTTTTCATGTAATTCTAACAAACTAAAATATTATGCTTACCTACCAATTTCTCTTTTATTTCTCCTATAGATTCAATCGTCAACTATTGTAAGTATAGGCGGCGTAGGTGGCACACTGAGTTGCATCACGACCATGTGGATAATAGATTATTTTGGAAGAAAAGGTGTTTTAATAGCAGCAGGCAGTTGTAATCTGATATCTTGGATTTTGATGTACTTTGCAAATGGAATAGAAGTGTTATGTGCATCCAGAGTATTAGGTGGAATAGCTTTAGCACTTTCTCTGACTGTAAGTTCTTATGATTTATCACCATTTGTTGACAGGCGAAGGTGAAGCTACCGATGCCTCACTAAATATTTCCGATCCAAAAAATTAAATTATATTTCCTATTAGGGCTTCACAATATGACGAATCTTAGTTATTTAGGTTCTATAGAATATATTCTACTGTTCTAGCTGATTAAAATTCGTCTATTTTTGAAACTTATTATGATTATCATGGCTCCTAAGTATTTGGATTATTATCCGATATTAGGAGCTAGTAAACAGTTGTGATACATAGTGACATTCCTGGTAACAATCATTTCGATAATATAAGACTAAATGACGTCATTCGCAAATTAAAATTAACAAAAAAAATGAAAATACATTTTTGTTTTCATTTAGGCAAACTTCGGTAATATTTAATAAATAAAATAATTCGAAGTGGTCTGTATTCTGTCGAAACTGCCAGACGCGGATGGCGATTTCGATCTTTTTGGATCTCATCAGCGCGTCGCAGACAGCTCCGACAGAACACAGACCAACTTTTACGTGCTGTCTTAACAGTGTGTTTTAGAAAATACCACAAATGGCGCGGTAAACGCCATCTGTAGTACGATGCTACATTTTAGATTACGTATGCTCCAACAAGGTCCACTTGTATGGATATCTACTTGCTGAAAACGAATCCCGGCGTAGCCAACCGTTTTTTGATAATATTTATTTACGTCGCGTTTTTCTTTTCAGTGTGGTACCATTTATCTTGGTGAAGTATCACATAACGACAACAGAGGTCGGCTGAATTTTCTAATGACAATTTTGAGAGTTTTTGGATCGGATATTGGCTTCGTCGTAGGGCCTTATGTATCCTTTAAAACGTTCGCCCTTTTGTCAGCATGCGCCTCGGTTATTTCTCTAATATGTACTTGTATCATACCGGAATCACCGTATTATTTAATCAAAAAAGGTAAAAAAGAAAAAGCCAAAAAGATCGTTCAAAAACTGGCCAACGATGCATCCGATGAGAGCACTTTAGAAAAAGAGTTGGAAGACATCAGTTCCTCAGTAGAAAGAGACATGAAAAATAAAGGAACTATTTATGAACTTTTAACCAACAAAATCTATAGAAAACCGTTATTTATTCACATCTGTAAGTAGCCTATTTTTTCTGATTTCGTTGATTTATACTTGGAGTCCTTGTTCAAGGTTTAAAGATGGTATTCATCTGTTGTGGTAACATTGTAATAAAATCGTATATGCAAACTATTATTAAAGCAACAGGAAGTAGTATGTCTTCAAACACTGCTAGTGTTATCTTTGGAATCATCAGTTTTGTTAGTGGTAAATACTTTTGGTTAATTTTAACAATCAATAAAAAAATTAATACGAATTAATTTCAGCCCTAGCTTCCGGACAACTTGTTGATCGTTTTGGCAGAAGACCCTTGCTCATGGTCTCCAGTTTGTTGTGTTCTATTGGCATGTTCTGTTTAGGATTGTATTTTTATCTTCAAGACGCCACTTCGTATAATGTTGATGTAATTTCCTGGTTACCAGTTACCAGTTTGATGCTTTTCCAAGTATTCGTTGCGATTGGAATCATTTCAATACATTCCGTTGTTGCTTCAGAATTGTATCCAATGAATATAAAGGCTGTCGCCGTGTCCGCAGTTGCGTTTTTGGCACAAGCCGCGGCTATCGCTATTCAATTTTCCTTTGAGCCCCTGAGCGAAATTTTGGGAGAGTACACTTGCTTGTGGTTCTTCAGTTTTTGCTGCTTGCTAGGATTCTTTTTCGGACTGTTTATACTCCCGGAGACAAAAGGAAAGTCATTCGATGAGATTCAAATGATACTTAACCGAGGAAAAAGCGAAAGAATTGTTCATAATAAAAATCAAGAAGCCGGAAAATTCTAAGCAGTCAGGAGTCAGTCGATACAGACCGATAACCAGCATTATAAAAGAGCAGTTATTTAAACGCCTATTTAAAGTTATTGTTTAAAGTAAATAACTATCTTTAAGACCCGTTTGAATAAATAAATAGGTTACTAGAAAATTCTTTACAATAATGTTAATGTAAACAGTGATTACTTTAACTAATAAGATACCAATTTTTGCTTATTTATACCTATATTAAAGACTGACGTATCTTATACCTTTCAGCTTGAAACAGATTATTTATATACCAACCAAACATCGTTTAACAGTATTGTTATTAAGGTTACCATTTTGTTTTCGTTTTTCTATTGTAGTCTCTTCATACAGGTACACTTGAAAACTGAACGAGATGATTTTTAAAATATTCCATCATAAGGAGTGGTGTAGGAGAAAATTTTACTTTTTATAATAAATGATAACGTGTTTCATCTATTTAATTAATTAATCGCTAATTTTAATATTAGATATGCATCTATTAAGTCCTACGGGCTTTACAGTTCAACCAGTAGGTTCCTTCCGAAAGTTTCAACTTGCGAAATGGAATGCGGGAATGAATTAAACAACACGTAAGGAAATAAAGTGGAGTCTTCAGTTTGAGCAAACAGTTGACAATATTCAATATAAAAAGTTACGCGGGCCGACGTCCGTTTTGGGTCGCCCATGCAATACCCAGATGTAGTGGAACCTGGTGACGAAATCGTATCCGATGATGGCGTACGCCGTTGGCGATGGCAGTATACCTGGAACAATAGGCATTTACCCACCTACTCATAAACTGAATAGCCCAGCATTGGTCGTATGTATAGAAATACATCATCAATATCACTGAGCGGCATGGCCTAGAGGTTTAGACCATTGCTTATCATTCGGGAGGACGCCAGTTCGATTCCGGGTCCGTCTGCCTTGGTCCAAGTTTTTCTGTGGTTTCGTTAGATCACTTAGGCAAATGCTGGGGCAGTAATAGTAGTCCACCGATAATCTTTCATTCTCTTCTGTCTTCATTTCGTCCGTCTCATCTTTCTCACCCGAACCACCACCCAACCGTTCCCACGATTTCTGAAAGGAGACTCAAGAGGATCTTCCCCTCTACCTTCTGGCGTAGTCCGGAGGGACTGCTCGCCCACCAGCATTACTGGCAGATGGGAATTAAACACTTAAAGGTTTTTTTTTAATCAATATCATCGCAGCATTACCGACATTTAGGCCACTGCTGTATATGGCAAAAGTGAAGGGATGGATTTCCTCTGCGAAATACACTCCACTCACAAATGCACTGCAACTTCAGGCATTTCTAGTTAGATCTGCAGCGGATTACCCTTTTTACAGCCTTTACCATCCACCTAAAGGTAGATACGTCAGATCCGTTTTAAGGGCAGTTTTCATTAGTAGTTCATACTCATGTCGAGCTCTTGTCGCTAGAATCCCCTATCCGCAATTTTACATAAAATTTTACTAAGAAGCACATTTTTATTTTCACTAGACCTACCCTGTTCCTGTCGTAATGTCATCATGTCTTGACAATAATTAATTAATGACATACATATTTGTATTTTGGTGTGCATGATGCATATCCGTTGACCCAATACATTTATGATGCATCTCAGAACACCCTGTAAACACTTGCCGGGCTGCACGTGTAAAAGATAAAATATTTGGGATAAATAGATGTGAAGACAGAAAACAAACGACTTTCAATGTCATACATTATCATTGGCTCAAGTGATGTACCACTTGTTCGGTTAATTAGAAAATGTTTTCTCCTCTCTCTCTCGCTCTTTCTCTCTCATTTATTTCTATCAAATAAAAACTTAAAAATCACCAATCTCCTTTATTATTAACTAATTGAAACTGCTTATCGTTCTTTTAAATACTTATATTTTTTTCAATAACTCGCTTTTGTAAAAGGCGAACGTGGAGATATAAGTAGGTATCAATTATTATTATCAATACAGTGTAGCATACGAATAAATAATACGTAAGCAACCACATAATTCAATCACTTCTGAAGTTACCCGTAAAGTAGATGGTATAAGTACTTTTCTTGACCGGCCGACAGGATGCTACGAAATAAATTATTAAATTTGCGATATAGGCAGTATTTGTACTGCATTTGTGGTATGTATCAAGAAAAAAGACGTGCCCGAAAATAACGCTTAATATTTATGTCTTTGTCTAACAAGCGATTACAACTGCGGCCGCCACGTCCATTCATGACTCCTGGTCTTCGACATTTCTACCTCAAATACGGTCTGAAGATTCGCCAATAGGTGTTAAATTGGATACAGTTAAGTAAAACATTCAACTGTCTACAAATTATCTCAAATTAATTAGTAAAAAGTGTTACCGCTGTCATTCCCTCGCCGGGCGTCGAACCTCGAGCCTCTGGTTTTACGCATAAATAGATAAATACTCTACCACAAAACGTTTTCTTGTTGTTGGTGCTGTCACCTCTCGGAGCTTAGTGGTAAACTACTGGTGAATATAATTAAGACGCGGCGTTCGATCTCCAACGAGAGAATGACAGTACCTACAATTCTTCCTCATTAACTTGAGGTAATCTGTAGGGGGTTGAATCTTAATTCACATTAATGTTAAAAAATATATATTAATTATTAACCTCTATCAAATAAATAAAATTACTTATTCATGTTTTTTATTTTACCTACTATAGATTCAATCATCGACTGTTGTAAGTATGGCCGGCGTGGGTGCCACATTAGGTAGCATCATTACTATGTGGCTAATGGATATATTTGGAAGAAAAGCTGCTTTAATAGCAGCAGGCAGTTGTAATTTGATATCTTGGGTTTTAATGTACTTCGCAAATGGGATAGAAATGTTATGTGGATCCAGAATATTGGGCGGAGTAGCTATAGGACTTTCTTTGAACGTAAGTTCTTATCGGGTATCAAGTGGGTATGGTCCAGTCAAAATAGACAAAAATAAGTCATAACTTAGGAAAAATTCGCATAGAGCTAAAAATTGGCAGAGACGTTAAATACGTCATTATAAATAAAATGTCAAAAGTCCCCTTCGATCATGCAAAAATTTTTATTCAAGGTCAAAAATGCAAAATTAAGGTTTTTTCCATTTTTCTCGAAAACGGTAAGTTTTATCGTGAAAATAGGTCAGACAAAAGTTGTATATCATACAATTCTCTACAAAAATGGTCCAGTCACTTTTTCACTTACGACTCACCATTCGTGAGATGTCGCGGTTTTAAACATTAGAAAATTCATATTTTACATAATCTGCACACATTTCCGCACCACCTATGAGGTAATGTACTTGGCGCATTTTTTTTTAACGTGGTTTCCCCAGTAGGTATACTTCACGATCTATTGTCATTAACAAAGTTTGATCAGATCGTATCTTATTGATTGAAAAAATAGTAATATTGCTAATGATCAAAGTGGAATAGGTGGTTTTCTTCTAAATGTTAGTGTATTAGATAATTGTCTAATTCTACTTCGACAATTATTCCTTCGTCTTCATTTTCTTCTTGCAGAATTTCTGTTCACTGTTCTAAGAAAATGGATGCATCAATTGTCTCTTCATTAATATCATAAATATTGTCATCTGTTGTAGTTGTTTCAATATTGGAGCAAGTCTGACCCTGATCATTGATAAAGTAATTGCTGTTCCACTAAATATTTTCAACACAAAAAATTCGTATTGAAGCTTGTGATATGACGAATCCTGATTATTTAGGTCCTGTAGAATGTATTCTATAACGATTCTGACTGAACAATTCGTCTATTTTACTACACTATTCTTGGAACTTATTAAGTGATTACCTTAGCCTCTAAGTATTTAGTTTATTATCCGATATTGGTAGCTGGACGACATAATTCACCTGTTAAAATTAATAAAAACATTTAAAATATATTTTTGTAGTCCATTATTTTCATTTCGATTTCAATTTTCAAAATATTCACATACGTATTTCTTTCTAGTGTGGTACCGTTTATCTTGGTGAAATATCACACAATGACAACAGAGGTCGACTGAATTTTCTAATGACAATTTTGAGACTTTTTGGATCGGATATAGGCTTCATTATAGGACCTTATGTGTCCTTTAAGGTATTCGCCCTTCTGTCAGTAGGCGCCTCAATTATTCCTGTAATATGTACTTGTATCATACCGGAATCACCGTATCATTTAATCAAAAAAGGAAAAAAGGAAGAAGCCAAAAAGGTCATTCAAAAACTGGCCAACGATGCATCCGACGAAAGCTCTTTAGAAAAAGAATTAGAAGATATCAGTTCTTCCGTAGAAAGAGACATGCAAAATAAAGGAACTATTTACGAACTTTTAACCAACAAAATCTATAGGAAACCGTTATTTATTCACATCTGTAAGTAGCCTATTTTTTCTAATAAGGACATTGGTTTAGACATCGAGTACTTGTTGTAGCTTTAAAGTTGATATTTATGTGTTGTGGTAATCTTATAATTAAATCCTATATGCAGCCTATAATTAAAGCAACAGGAAGTAGTATGTCTTCAAACACTGCTAGTGTTATCTTTGGAATCATCAGTTTTGTTAGTGGTAAATATTTTTGATAATTTCAACAATTATTAAAAAAATTAATTAAAATATTTTCAGCCCTAGCTTCCGGACAAATTGTTGATCGTTTTGGCAGAAGACCCTTGCTTATGGTTTCCGGATTGTTGTGTTCTATAAGCATGTTCTGTTTAGGATTATACTTTTATCTTCAAGACGCCACTTCTTATAATATTGATGCAATTTCCTGGTTACCAGTTACCAGTTTGATGCTTTTTGAAGTGTTTGTTGCAATTGGAATTATTTCCATACATTACGTTATTGCCGCAGAATTGTATCCAATGAATATAAAAGCTGTCGCCGTGTCCGCAGTTGCGTTTCTGGCACAAGCTCTGGCTATTGGTGTTCAATTTTCATTTGAGCCCTTGAGCGAAATTTTGGGAGAGTATACTTGCTTGTGGTTCTTCAGTTTTTGCTGTTTTTTAGGATTTCTCTTCGGACTCTTCGTACTCCCGGAAACAAAGGGAAAATCATTTGATGAAATTCAAAAGATACTTAATCGACGAAAAAGCGACGAAACTTTAAATATTAAAAATCAAGAAACTGGAAAATTCTAATGTTTAAAATAAACTTTTGTTTTTTTTTTGTTATTATAATACTTAGGTACAAATATTTCAAGATTGGATTAATTTGGATGTTTATGGGATTCTAGTAAATTGCGTTTTTGCATTTATTTCGAAAACGAAGTAAAGATGATTCTTCTAGAGACGAGTTATTAACTGGCTTTAGAAGTAAGTTAATAATCTTGATCCTATTCTCCACTAATATTTGGCTTTATGGGGGAGGGGGGACGGAATGGATAAAAGGATGGAGATACTTGATGGAAGAACTAATCAAGAAAGTAACATTCCTATCCCTAAATTAACCTAAATCTGCCATAATAACAGCGTTTTTTTGGATTTCCCAAAATTCTGTTGTAAAGATGAAGTTTTTTACTTTACTAGAATGGATTAGATTGTAGTATCGGTACAACTGTTAATTTTCGAAGGTGATTTTTGGTTTTCTTTTCATCTCATTTAACCAAAACGTGGTTTTCGTAAGGAAACTAATATGGCGTCCTTAACTCATGACTTTTTGATACCCAAAAACAATATAAAAATTACAATATCTTACATGCAACGATAATTATACTCTAAGTGGCTGAATTTAGGACTTGCAATAAAGAGGTACCTAGATTCCTAAATTTTTAGGTTTTACAAAACCAAAATCGATTTCGATTTTCCAAAAATACTTTCTATGCAGACTCATTATCTTATTTTTTAAATATAATTTTGATTTCATTGTTTTCCATAGTGTGAAGTGCCTGAATTTTGAGAAACTGATAAAAGAAGCAATACAAAAAGTTGTTATTTAGTTTTTTACTTCTCTATTAAATTACAATGGTTTTAATCATGTTTTTTATAACGATTAATTTTTAATACGCCGTTAACGTTTTTCGAAAATTAATTAATTTAATCAGTAATTATATTTATTGATTAATTAAGCAGACTTGCATTTTGTAGTTTTTTTAAGTAGGTTTCGGTTCTTTTTTATATTATGATACACAAGCAAAAATCTATTTCTGCATTACACAACTTGCCAGTGGCGTAGTTAAACCAAACATGGACATCCAACGAAATCCACTTTGGAATGCCCTTTTCATGTTTGTGTTAGAAACAGTGCTAATAAATTGAACTCGACAAAACGTTACGATAGGGCTCATCAGCAGAAATTTCGGAATCCCATACACTTCTGGCTTGAATACAAGTCCTTTGCCTGGGGAATCCCATAACTGTTTATGTTGTTAGACGACTGAATAAACGACTGCAAATTGACTATTTATTATATCTAGCTTTCTTACTCCTTAATGAAGCAATTTTGTTCGCGCATGTTAGCTAATTCACCCATCATATTCCCTAGAGTCTTTATCTACGATTTAATCTTACCAAAATCCTTGGTGAAAAGTAGCCACAGTAAATGAACTGCAATAAATAAACAAGGTCAACGAAACGAAACACATATTGAACAGGAAGAAAACGAAAGACAATTGGTTTTTTGACTAATTTGAATGACTATAAAAAAACAAACACCTAAATTTGATAAAGATTTTAATATTCAAGTCGCAGACATCAAAAAAGTTTTACAAGTACGCCATAAAAAAAATCAAAAAGATAAACCATTTATGTAAATAATTGTCAAAGTAGACTGAATTGATATAAATATCAAAGTATCTTATCGATAAATTGACAAATTTTCAGAGATGGTTACGATACGTTTTTAGAATGTAAATAGATAAAAATTTTAGGTATTGTTTAGTACAGTGTTAACAGTTAGCACTTTCAGACAACGGCATTGATTATTATCCTGTCTGTAATGTTACAAGTGGTTATTTCCAAATGGAGGTACAGACAATACTTTTACTGTATCGCTGGTAAGTTATTTTCTAAATTTCATTCCAAAAGCGTCCGCAATGGAGGCGGATCTCGTGTTCACGTGATGATATCACGTGAGCAGTTCCTCAAATGGCGGACGAAATCATCATAAAGTCATCAGTCCTAATACAGGTTAGACACGCACCTCCAGTCTTTTCTATACTGAGCTAATTTTCGCATTTCCCTAAAACTAGAACATCCCACATCCTTAACTATTTGCGAACAGTAATCTAAAATAGGTCTACCTCTACTCCTCTTAACTCCTGTTTCTGCCTTTAATATGACCTTCATGCCTGAGAAGGTGTCCTACCAACCTATCTCGCCTATTTCTTATTGACTTCCATAGAGTCCTCTGTTCTCCTATTCTTTCTAATACCTCTTCTTTCCTAACCTTCTCTATCCACGATATCCTCATCATTCGCCTGTAACACTTCAATTCGAATCCTATTCTTTTCAGCCGCGAGCACCGTACAGCGTCGCGCTTCAAACTTACACCTTCATCATTATCTGCCACTTCTTCTAATCTTTCGTATCCTACCTTTAAATTCGCTCTTACTTTTCATACAATACTGTTTTGTCAATACCGCTTCCATTTTATTTAAAGCTACCTCTAACTCCTTACTAGATGCTAATACTGCTAGTTAGTTCTCTACGTTAGGGCTCCAGCTCTATAACTGCCTATTGTTCTTTATACAAAGTATCACATTTCTATCTCTGTAACTCGTCCCTACATTTAAAATTGTCAAAAGCTTTTTCTAAATCTACAAATCCTATGTTTTCTATCTGCTCTTTTCTTTTTCTATCATTTTCTGTGTGTTACCCGTAAAGCTAGAATGGCCTCTCGCATTCCGCTATTTCCTCTAAAGCCAAATTGATCTTCCCCTAATAATCCTTCCGCCCTTTTTTCCATCTATAGAAAAATGCTATTAATAATTAAATATTGTTACTGGTTGTTATTCTATTTTTCTTCTAATTTTTAATTTTCGCGTTGATAATGCCCACGTGTGAAGTGGGCGAAACACGTGTCCGCTCAAATAAAATTATTTGTGGTAATTAATTTTCAATTAATATTTACCACAGTCTCCTCTTTCTAATTTTACAGAAGTTTTAGTTACTTATTACTAATAAGAGATGCTATTAAGTACTACATCATAATATTTTGTAAACTTCTTATCAGCTTTGGTTTCGATTACTGCCTCTGAAATTCATGGATCATGGACTTCTCCATTTATCCCACAACTCGAATCTGATGATTCCCCCATAGGCGTAAAATTAACTACCGTAAGTGAAAAAATACAATATACTATAGCAAAAATCTGTGGATGTCAAAAAAAAAAGAATACCTTTTAATATTCCAGATACAAGCTTCTCTAGTTGTAAGCTTTTATACCTTTGGTTTCATTTTGGGAAGCGCTTTTACTGTATATGGACCTGATATTTTTGGTCGGAAAATATCATTTATAGTTGGAGCTGTATTGAATTTAATCTCTTGGATTTTTATATTGTTTGCTTCTGGTCCAATCACTTTATATTTTGGAAGAATTATTGCTGGAACGGGAGCAATCCTTTGTATTAACGTAAGTTACTGATGTCAAATTACTAAAAAATGGAGCGAGAAAAATTTCTACCACTATTTTTCGTCGATGTACACACATTTTTTTATATATATACGCACTGGAAAATAGCTTATGATTTTTTTCCCGGAATGTGGAATATTTTAAGTAAATTATACCGTCAGAACACTTCCCCTACAACCCCATACCCCCATTATGTGGAAAATTCTTTTTAAATTACTTAAAAAGCAGATGTACCAGGTGGTAGAAGGTTGAGGCGACATGGTTTATCCCAGTAATTTTTATAATTATAAGAATATGCTAAATAAGTCTTACAAACATGAATCAAAATAAATTTGTTACGATTTATTACGTTCCTGCGTCTCTATAAGATTGACGTACGGCACGCTTTCGGTACATCAAAAGCGTCGCGTTGCCGGTATCGATTACTTGCGGCTTTATTGTACGCAAAAATATCTANACTGATGTCAAATTACTAAAAAATGGAGCGAGAAAAATTTCTACCACTATTTTTCGTCGATGTACACACATTTTTTTATATATATACGCACTGGAAAATAGCTTACGATTTTTTTCCCGGAATGTGGAATATTTTAAGTAAATTATACCGTCAGAACATCTCCCCTACAATCCCATACCCCCCTTACGTGGTAAATTGCTCTAAAATACTTAAAAAGCAGATGTACCAGGTGGTAGAAGGTTGAGGCAACATGGTTTTCCCAGTAATTTTCATAATTATAAGAATATGCTAAATAAGTCTTACAAACATGAATCAAAATAAATTTGTTACGATTTATTACGTTCCTGCGTCTCTATAAGATTGACGTACGGCACGCTTTCGGTACATCAAAAGCGTCGCGTTGCCGGTATCGATTACTTGCGGCTTTATTGTACGCAAAAATATCTAATTTATATGCTACTATATGCCTTTTATTGATCTTTACGGGATCATCTACGAAACGGCTGAAGTAATTTCGATGGAAACTTAAAAAAAGTGAACATCTCTGCTAGGTGTGATATGAAACAGGTAAAGTTTTTGAAATTGTTCATTGGTTATAATTATAGTATTTATTACAAGTAATTAAAACTTTGATAAAGATGAAGCCACTGATAAAAGCTGAATATCAAATACATTTAATTGTTCATTGCCCGGGGCCTTCGCCATTTCTAAATATTATCGATTTCCCGATATTTCAAATAAGAAGAATGACCTATCTGTAAGGATACTTTGTTACAACACTCACTAAAAGCCCAAAGTCAAAAAGGCGTTTAGAAATATGTTTTAGGTTTATTTATTTCATGTGGTTGAAATCTCCTGTTGAATGAAACTATTTCACCTTTCTGCTTATAATACACAAACAAATGACATCCAGGTTTTCCGCGACCATCAAAAAGAACTCATTTTCCATTAGAAATACTAATATCAATTTAAAATTTTCAGATTTCACCTATGTACATTGGAGAAATTTCGGATAACGATAACAGAGGAAGACTGGGTTATTTTAATGTTCTTTCAAGTACTTGTGGATCTGTTATCGGACTGGTAATAGGTCCATACGTATCCTACAGGACTTTTGCGATTATGGCAATATGCACGGTATTAATTGCAATTGTATGCCTTCTGCTGATTCCCGAATCGCCTTATTATCTCATTAAAAAACACAAACATGAGCACGCAGAAAAAGTAATATGGAAACTAGCAAGCAATGACTCTGATAAAGAGTTTGTCAAAAAGAGACTGGAGGAAATCACTGAGTCTGTACAGAAGGATATGCTAAATACATCGTCTATTAATGAACTTATTTGTAATAGGAAATATATAAAATGTATACTGCTCCACGTTGGTGAGTGGACACAATACATTCATTTCGGTACTTTTGTAAAGCTAATGTAGAAATCATTATTTATGCTCTTTTAAATAAAATCACATAAAAATATAGTCATCATAAGTACCAAAACTGGTAGGACACGCGCCTCCACCCTTTTCTATTCTGAGCTAATCTTTGCATATTCTTAAAACTAGGACATCCCACATCCTTAACTATTTGTGAACACTAATTTATTCTAAGAATACCTTTACCCCTCTTAACTTTTGTTTCTGCTTCCAATATGTATCTTACTGGCCCTTCATGCCTGAGAAGGTGTCCTATTTCGTCTATTTCTTATCGACTTCTATAACGACAAGGAATAGAAGTTTATCATTTTAACAGCACAAAAAATAATCAAAGATAATTAGATTATTCCTAATTGAAGCAAGTTTTCTGATAAGGTTCGGGAAATCTGAAGGGAGTGTCAAGGAAATATAGACATATTTTCAGTATTGTCGTGTCTAAATACTCACCAAGACCCTCATTCCTACCCTAAGCATACATTTCATTATCATTATGTAGGCATTTTTTGAAGAAATTTTTATTTGCGATTTCAAACGCTCCTTGCAATATGATTTGGAACATTTATGCTAACATTAACTCTTCCATTTCAGGTTTAAATTTTATTTTTTACATGTCGGGCAGCCCGATCATAAAGTCATATTTGCAAACAATATTGGACGCAAGTGAAAGCACAATTTCATCCGATCTTTCAAGTTTAATTTTCGGAATAGTTAACATTGTTGCTGGTAAGTTATCATAAATGACAATTTACCCATTAAATACAATACAAACATTAATCACACTTTTCTTTTAGTGTCTCTTTCTGGTCAAATGGTAGATCGATTAGGAAGGAAACCTCTTTTACTTATATCCTGTATTGTCAGTGCGACTTGTATGTTTATTTTCGGGGCGTATTTTTACATTAACGAAACCAAATCTTTTAATATGAAAGTTGTAACATGGTTACCATTGACCTGTTTAGTCGTCTTTGAAATGTCCAATTCTGTTGGCATTAATCCTATGTCATACGTCGTTGTTTCCGAACTATATCCAATCAATATCAAAGGTATTGCGATAGGGACAATTGGAACAGTACTAACTCCTATCGCTGTACTCATTCAATTATTTTATGAACCTCTGAATGAATATTGGGGGTTGTATGTCTCTTTTTGGATATTCAGCGGATGCTGTGTTTTTGGTATTTTCTTTGCCATATTCTTTTTACCAGAAACAAAAGGAAAATCTTTTCAACAAATACAAATGGAAATCAATAAGAACTGGGTGGAGACTGCTGGAGGCATAGAATCTATCAGTAAATTATAACAAATTGGTTTTTAGCCTAATACTAATAGTTTTGAATTATTTTAGGTTGAGTGATGGAGCGAGAAAAATTTCTACCACTATTTTTCGTCGATGTACACACATTTTTTTATATATATACGCACTGGAAAATAGCTTACGATTTTTTTCCCGGAATGTGGAATATTTTAAGTAAATTATACCGTCAGAACACTTCCCCTACAACCCCATACCCCCATTATGTGGAAAATTCTTTTTAANGATGGAGTTTTTAGAATTTATGAAGAATGCAGAATAACAACAGTATAATAATGTTATAAAACCCGTTATCAATTTCAAGATTGCATTTTCCTATTACCTTTCCTTAACCCAAATTAACCATTCTATTACCAACTTAAAATTATTAATCAATATGTAAATCAGTTAAATACTTTTAGTCACAATGAAAATATCGTCGAAATTTAAACAGAGGTGCGCACTAAGTAGTGATTTCGACAACGTATTGCACCTCTACTAGTCTCACAGTCTAAATAGTTCCAACACAAAACTTCGAGCTTCTTATCTTTAGAAACTTATTCTTTGTATGGGTCATGGATATTAGCACATCAGTATTATCTGTATATCGCTGATCTGCATCCAGTTGCAACGGAAGAGTTTGATTGTTTGATTGAAGCAACAGGAATAAGGTCGTAGTTGTTGTGGAGTGATGATGTAGATCTGTTTGAGTCGCCAGATAGAAACTGGAGCATTTCTGCCTTGTATATTAAGAGTGTGAAGTCTTTCTCAGTCCGAGAAACCATTTCATAGGAACGCGGAGATATACTCCTTGTGTGTCCTAAAACAACGCAAAAGTTTGCCTGAAAATACTAGAGTAGTTCATAGGCAAAATTGGTAATGCTGCCTCTGATGATCAGGAGGTGTCTACAAGAAATTTCTCTGGAAGTAGAAGAGGTCCATCATGGACAGTCTTTTCTCTTTATTCTTGTGACGCTCAATCATATCATTGGCTGCAAGGTCCTTATGTGGCCAATGCTCAACAATCGGTTCAACTGATACCTGCTTGGTCTTGATCAGACGCAGAAGATCATCAAACTCACTGGCGGTATCTCTGCTTCCTGGTGCCAAAGAAATGTCACCTCTGATCCCTGCCAGAAGTGGTCAATGAAAGTAAGACATTACCTGTGTCCTTCGGAAAAAGACATAACGATGGAATCGATTTGGACGTGCTCGAACCGTTCAGGAGACACTGTAAAGGTACCAATATGAGCATTAGGGAGGGAGATTTTGGACTGTTGGCATTTGATAAAGACGTAAGCCCAAGCGCGGCAATGGAGGGCTGTCTGACGAGGATGGTGGTCGCATTGACTACAAAGTGAAAGGGTCCATGGACCACATTCCTAGTGAATGTGGCGGAAGGACATTACGCCCTCGCTACGTTCCCCGGGGAAGTCAACCACACTAGTTGGCAAAACTTCAGATAAACGAATACATCGGCTGTCATACCGAAAGAGCAACAATCCTAGATCACGGACATCAAGGTCGAATATCAAGCAATATTCACATTTTACGTCGACCCTATAAGTATCTGTTGTTGTCCGCGAAAACTTTACAACAAAAGTGTTTTTTGTGTGAACAATAATCAAATAACAAATGATTAAAGTTGTTAAAATAAAAAAGAACCACATAAGAACAAAGGCTTTCACAGCCAGAATCCATAGTAGAATGAAGATTCGGGCTATAGAACCGTGGTGTAAGTGAACCATTCCGTCCAGACGTTTCGTCAGCTACTGCGGCTGACATCCTCAGTGGTAGTGCAACGTTCACATTGTCAACTGAGGATGTCAGCCGCAGTAGCCAACGAAACGTCTGGACAAAATAGTTCACTTGCACCAGGGCCCTATAGCCTAAATCTTCATTTCACTATAAAGAACTGTTACAGCGAAGTATATTCAAAATGTTTGGCTTGCAAAACAAAAATCGAAAATATTGTTTAAGTTCTCTATGTACAATAATTTTGTCTTAAGTACCGTTTTGACATCAGTGTATAGTATGATATCTCATTCTTTACAAAATTGATAAGGAAACAATACAAAAAATTTATTTAATTTTTATTACGTTTTCAAATCCCAATGATTTTAATCGTATTGAGATACATAAGATTTTAATGATGACAGTATGAAATATTATAGATATCATTCACGTTTTTCAAATCGCTGATTAAAAGATATACAGTAAAGGTTACTAATATCGAAACGCTTATAGCAAAAACTTACTGTAAACACCAGAAGAAAAATCGAAAAATAATTTTTTGATTCTTTTTTATGATTAGTGATGAGAAAACTTGATATTGGTCCTACAGGACAGGACAGTTTTGGTCTAGCTTCGCTCATCACTATTTATGATACACTAGTAAAAGAACTTCCCCCAAAAAAATATTTATACTGATTTTTTAAATGTTTTTTCTTTCCTTATATATATATTTGTACTTTTGCTAGCAATTAATACGAAATTTAAAACCTCATAAAATGAAACCATTCAAGAACATCGGATTGTACATGATTACTAAAGGTTTTCAGGATAATTTTTAATAATTATTATTTATTGCTGTAATATGTACAATTGGCTGATTAGGTTGAAAAATATTATAGGTAATAAATCAACAGTTTCATGTCAAAGTTATAAGTCGGGAACTCGAAGTGATGAATTCAGATATACCTACACGTGGGAATTATAAAACAATCATCTGGTTATTGTGATCTAACTGCGTCAACTAATTTGTTTAAAATACGTACTACTTATACTTACTATCTACTAATCTATTTTATCTAAGAATCTAATCTAATTGTAAGTATATAAAATTAATTAGAGAACAAAATCATTTTTCGTTATACTTCAATTTTGGAATAAAAACACTCACTCTCTGATTCTCGTTACTTCTTTATCTTCTCTGATATTATATGGTACATCATTATGCAATTTATGCTATATAAAAAATTAAATTACAAATATTTAACAAATACATTATGTGTACGGACTCGATTATTATAAATGAAAATTCTTCCATTGGTATAACGCTAGCCACATAGGCCAATAAACAAAAGAACAAAGATTCTTCAATGTAGTGAAGTAGGCCAGAGCCGGACTTTTGCATCC